GGAGCCACTATCCTAGCCTGCCTGGCCCTGGAGCCTAACTAGACCGAATCTGGAATTTTGGTGTAGCTGGAAGGTAAGTGGGTCAGAGGGAGGGGGCAGGGGGGAGGAATTCAATTTATTTGTAATTTAAGTAATTGTAATTTGTTTTTATTGTGTGTGTGTGTGTGTGTGTGTTTCTTTCTTAACTTCACTCAAACAAACACTCTCAATTTGAGAGAGAGTTTGATTGAGAAAAGAGGGAAGGAGCAGACGCAGGGAGGGGAGCCTTGTTTGTTTGAGAAGAGAGGGGCAGCCCTCTTCCCCCCCATCCTCTTCCTTTCCTCCTCCTCCTCTCCCCTTTCTTCACCGGCTGCCACTTCGCCCCCTCCGCCTCCTCCATCCCCCCCGCTGTGTCCACCAGGCGTCTCGCGTTTATGGCGGGCATAAACGTGAGATGCCTGGCAGACACAGAGGTGGGGATGGAGGAGGTGGGGGGCGAGGAGGAACCGCGGAGGCGAAAGGCGAAGAGGGGTGAGGGGGGGTGTTTGCAGCCCTGGTTCCATCTCCCAGCAGCCCCAGGAGGAAACAGCGAAAAGGTGTGGGGGGGTGTTCCAAGAGGCCCCCTACCCTTTCGGAACTCCGCAAGCCAGGCCTGCAGCGGCAAGAGGATCTGCTCTGCTTCTATCGCCCCCCCCCCCGCTCCAGAGAAGCCAGCTGGGCAAGTCTCTGTAGCCCCGGTTCCATCTCACAGCAGCCCCAGGAGGAAACGGGTCAGCCCCGCTTTCCTCCCCGGACTTTCTGGCAGTGGAGGACAGCATTCTGCTCCCTCTTCCAAGCCCCGAGTGGCCAGCCTTTTGCCTCGATGGCTCTCGCTCCACCCTTGTTTGGGCTCCTCCTCGGCAGGCCTGCCGGAGCTCTGGGAGAAAGCAGCAGGTGCGTGTCTGGAGCGATACTGCTGCTACTCGTGGGAATCGCTAGTGTCGAAGATGGAGTTGGGGCCCATGCCGCTCTCGGGGTTGCTCAGGCAGCAGAGAAGGGTGCAGCCGTCGCCCGCCAGCAGGGCGTGTCAGAAGGCCTGCGCCCCTCCCTGCGCCCTGCGTGTCAAGATGGGTTCCATGGCTGCGCCTCTTCCCCGGAGGGAGATGGACAATCTCCCCGGCGGCGGGGGACTTTAACCCTGCAACACCTGGCCTGGCGCCTGGGGAAGGGCAATGCCTGGGCCGGCAGGAGCGGCATTCAAGTGCGCCAAGGGGAGCCAGCGTAGGGAGGGGGCTTCCCTGCCCAATCGGACTGGCCACCGAGTGAGCGCTTCCTTAGCCAGGGGACCACAGGAGCCACTGCAGCCGCTCCCTGGGGAGGACCTGAACGCTCGCCCTCTTCTCCCTCATGAAGTGTGCGCACGCCAGCCGGCAAGATGAGCGGGCCTCCATTTCAGGGCCCCAGCGGGAGGACTTTAAAGTCCCGACCCAGTCCCGCTCTATGGCGGACACCACTGGGGCCCTGCCACTACTTTAAAGCCCCGGCAGCAGGGCTTTAATGTCCCGGCGCCTGCGTCACCATAGAGCCTGGTTCCGCTCTATGGCGGATGCGGCGCTGGGGCTTCAGCAGGACTTTCGCTCTTGCCTCACTGGCCATGAGGCTCACCGCATGTCTCTGATGCTGAGCATGCTTTCATTTGTGATTACCTGCAATTTGTTGCTTCATCTGAAACAAGTTAAGTTTCTTGTAATGTAACATATTTTTCGGAGTATAAGATGCACCGGAGTATAAGACGCACCAAGATTTTGAAGAGGCAAATTAAAAAAAAGTTTTTGCACTCTGCAGACCTTCCAAAAATGGCTTTAGGAGGCTTGTAGAATGCTCCAGGAAGGGGGGGGGGCAAGCAAAAACAGTACAGTTTTTGAGAAAATGGGCCCATTTTTTTGACAAAAAAGGGTATGCATAACCTTTAGGAGGCTTATAGAGTGCTCTTGAGGGCTGGGGGGGGGGCAAAATTGAGCAAAAAATGGCCTGTTTTTCACTCGTTTCACTCTGTTCCTGAGAGCAGGGTTTTGGGAGGCTAAATAAATGCTGTATTCAATGTATAAGACACACCCAGTTTTTCAGCCTCTTTTTTGAGGGAAAAAGGTGCATCTTGTACTCCAAAAAATATGGCAATCTGGTTTAATCCTAACTTGTTCATAGAAACTATTTCCAATTGCCTGTAGTTTCAAATTCAAGCAAAATAAGTGCAATGAGATGAAAATGAAATCGATTTCTAACATATATTTCTTGTTTTGCACTTCGGCTGGAAAGCTAACCAACAGTGAGATAAGCTTAAGATTTAAAAAATAAGGCACTAAAATGTTGTTGAGTGTTAATAGAGGAAGCACACAGTATGATTTCACATATGAAATAAACAGGCTTAAGATTAAAATATAGGACTTTTACTCTCTGACAGCTAGAAAGCCCTTTTTATATTACTTTTAAATAATAAGGTGTACTTTGGAAAATAATATATACTAACATCTATGATCCTGATAATAAAGCTGCCTATTATTTTCCACCAAAAAGTAATACAGAGATCCATACACATAATCTTGTAGGTAACTTTATTTTTATGCAATATGACATTCTGTGGCCAATGTCACATTAAATCAGATCTGGTTCAATAAAAGTTTCAACTATATATTTCAGTGATTGCCTTTTGCAACCAGTCTTCAACTCCATATTCATACAAAAAGTTTCACAATTCAAGACTACAAGTTACACAGCCACTCCATAAACAAACCATATCCACATTTTAGCATTTCTCCAGTTATACCATTTTTGTGTGTGTGTGTGTGTGCCAAACTGGTAGTAATGCTGGAAGCAACTCACCCCTGAGTTATACCTTTTTCTCCCTCAGAAAACTGATGTGCCAAGAAGTGTGGAATGCTTAGATGTAAAATTTATGTGCTATTTTATTTTTACTGGTTATATTTTAGTAGAAGCATCCCACAAAATAAATTGTGCACATCTCATAATGTAATATTTGTTGGGGAAAACTATTCCCATGAAACTCTGATTCAACTCTGATTTGATTTTTTTTCCTCATCAGAGATTAATCCATACAATATATGAAGAACTTAATAGTACAACTAACAGCAATCAAAATGTAACTGTATTTTATCATACATACAATTACATCAATGATATTTTCTAATGTTTTATTCATATATAGATGCATTTCCTTGATGCATTATGATTCAATCAGTGCAATTGATCATTTCTTTTTTCAACAAAGCTAAGATTTTTGAAAAAAAAATATGAATAGTGAACAACTACTAATGGATGAGTACCTGAAAAAAAATAGAATCATTTCATGTGTGATGTGAAGGATACTAATAGTTCACAGGTCTTTTATGTTATTTTTTTTAATTATTATTTTTATATTATTCTCCATAACTCTTGTGTTGGGGCTGTATATGGGAAACATTTAGTAATTACTGAAAATACTCACAAAGTAAGTATCATTTGATTATCTGCTGAGTACTGTTCAAACTTTCCAATTTGGAAGACAATTAAAAATACTAATTAACTATTTCAAAATATAAATTGCTTTGCTGTTCTAGAATAATACTGAACACAGTACACATTTTTCTCTTTATTTTTTATACTATGAAGGATTTAATGGTCAGGAGCATTTTTGTCAAAACTTACCAGATCGTCCGTCTCTTTGAAAGTCAACATGGTACCACTCTCCATCATTCACTTTTTTCTGCAAAGCTTTTATTTTAATTGTTCCAGATCCCATGTCTAAAAGCAGATAGAGGTGCCCATCAAGCATTTCAATGGCAAAGAAGTCAACTTTAACCATTTGTGGATGTTTGGCATCTTTCTGATGTCGTGGTTTGCCATGGCTGAAGAGAATCAGCCCATTGGGTTCAGTAGTGCGAAAGTCAAAGGATATTGAGCCTGTTTTTTTGGCATTCCATTTAGGCAAAGAAATAAAGGATTCTGGTGTTTCAAAAGTGATTGGATCCAAGGTTGCCACATTTTCACACTTAAATGCCACGACACCATGGATTTTCATCTTTGGATCTCCTTGTTTGGCCAGGCGAGACAATTCTAGTCTTACATCATTGTTTTTATAAACAACCTACAAGCAAAGCACAGTAATTACCAGAATGGATTAAACTGTATAAATCAGTTTGAATATTAATTACATTCTTACTTTTTATAAAGTTTCATGTTATCAGGTTAAATAACACATTTTGTAAATTTCACATAAATTAGAGCATGTCCCTCTTTCTCTCTGAAGCCAAGTCCTGAACCTGAATTTCATCTCTAATTGGAACTCATTCTGCAATTTAAACTCTGAAAATTAAATGACAACAAAATTTTAGTAAAATTTGGTTTCTCCAGTTCATTTTATTAAGTATTGAACTAAACAATAGCTAAATGCATTTGTGGGGCTGGGGCTTTAATTCTTTATCCCATCTCTCTCTTAAAGATTACAACTTTCTGGGGCTGGGGCTTTAATTCTTTATCCCATCTCTCTCTTAAAGATTACAACTTTCTATTTAATATGGAATAATATGCCAATATAATAATAGTAAATTGTAAAGTTCCATGGACACAATATCACATCTATACAAATACATGGCATACATACTTCCTTAGGTACATACATACTTCCTTAGGTACATGAATTAAGACATAAATACACTCTAGGAAAAAATAGCACAATGAAAAAAATAATATCAATTAATGGGTGAATAATTTAAAGATTTTCTCTTAATTTCTATAATTAAACTCTGCAGTTTGAATCTGGGTTGATTCCAGAGGTGGGTTCCTCTTGGTCCTGTCCGCTATGCCAGAAGAGGTAGTGAAAATTTGGCGTACCGAACTGGATCAGTAGTAATGGTGGCATGGCCATGCCCCCGAACCTCCATCAGAAGCTTTTTTTAAAAAAAAAAAAAAAAAAAAAAA